GTGGCTCACATCTGTAATCCAGAACTTTGGGAGGTGACGAAGGGCAGATCACTTCGTTCCAGGAGTTTGAGTCAAGCCTGGGCAATATAGAGCAACCCCATCTCTACAGAAAAAGAAAAATTATACATCAAAAAATTAGCCTGGTGTGGTGGTGATGCCTGTAGACCACTATTTGAGAGGTTGAGGTCGGAAGGTCACTTAAACTCAGGTGTTTGAGGTTCCAGTGAGCTATGATTGTGCCACTGCACTCCAGCCTGGGTGACAGAGGAAGACTGTCTCAAAAAAAAAAAAAAATCACAACACTCCAGAAATCTGCAGAGGGTTCTCCTCTAGTCTCTTTGTGAATACTAAGCCACACATGAATAGGGTGAAACTGCTTGAGGCTGGGAAAAGAGCTCACTTAAACATTACTACGACTCACACAGGGATGAGAAACATTTGAGTTCAGATCAGGCAGCGTGGAGACTCCTCAAAGGACTAGTTATCTAGAATACAAACATTCACAAAACTACAGTGAAGGAAAATCAACTAACAAATGGGCAAAAATGTGAGCAGACATTTTCACTGAAGAGGATATAAACATGGCAACTAACATGAGAAAAATTCTGAATATCACCACTAAGAAAATGAAAATTTAAACTATTACAGGACTTTAGGTGTCCGTTTTCAGGCTGGGCCAAAAACCTCTGCGGCTGCCCACGGAATTCATGTCTTGGCCTGCATCCAAGACAAGACTCATAACGTATGCATGAGGCATGAGAAACACAAACAATAAGGGTGAACAAGATGAAGATGAGCCTTTTTTTTTTTTTTTGAGTCGGAGTTTCGTTCTTGTTACCCAGGCTGGTGTGCAATGGCACGATCTCAGCTCACCGCAACCTCCACCTCCTGGGTTCAAGCAATTCTCCTGCCTCAGCCTCCAGAGTAGCTGGGACTACAGGCATGTGCCACCATGCCCAGCTAATTTGTGTATTTTTAGTAGAGACGGAGTTTCACCATGTTGACCAGGATGGTCTCGATCTCTTGACCTCGTGATCCACCCGCCTCGGCCTCCCAAAGTGCTGGGATAATAGGTGTGAGCCACCATGCCCAGCCCTGAAGATGAGCTTTATTAAGTATCAGAACAGCAGCTCATGAGGTAGCTCCTCTCTGCAGGCAGGTCATCCATTAAGCGTTCAGTTCTCAGCAGAGAAGAGGCCCTGGAGGGTAGCTCCTCTCTGCAACTAGGCCTCCTGATGTCCATGTCTGCAGCTCTCAGGGAGGCAGCCCTGAAAACAGTGGCTCCTCATTGCCGGCAGATCCTCTTCGCAGCTCTTCAGCGGGAGAGGATAAGGGTCCTCTCGGTAGCTCCTCAGCAAGAGAGAGGACCTTCTCCGTAGTGCTCAGTCAGTGGAGACCATCCCTGGAGAGTGGCTTCTCTCTACCGGCAAGTGGACTCTGCAGTTCCCAGCAGAGAGACTAAGTCTTCTCTGCAGCTGGTTATCCCCAACCTGTCTGCAGAAAGAATACTCCTCCCTGCACCCGCACCGTCACTTTCCGGAGGCTGAGCCCAGGGCTTTTATAGACCTCAGAGGGGAGGAAGTGCGTGCTGATTGGTCCATGAGTATCCATGGGTGGGCCCAGAAGAAGCACCACAAGTCCTCACTCCAGTCGGCTGGATTGGTAGCCCGGCTCCCAGCCTTCAGGCCCTCTCTGGCCTAGAAGTGGGACCTCACTGGGAGCTGCCCCTTCTGTCCAGGCCTCCAGCTGCCATTCGTGGCTGGGATTCGGGCCCCAACCCGGCTCTGAAATCCTCTGAGATCGGAGCAGGTGCAGGAGAGGAGAGGCGCCAGGCAGTGGAAGCAGACACTCCCAGCGTGCAGGGATGGGGGTGGGCTGTACCCATCCTGGTCCTGAGGACATGGCTGCAAAGATTCCCGGACCCTGCACCTGAGAGGGTGGCTGCAGTTGCACCTGGGGAGCTCCCACCCTGCCAACTCAGAAGGGGCAAGGTTCCTGCTTGTCCCCGGCTCCTGCCTGCTCTAAAAATGACAAATTTTTAGAACTGGAGGAGTAATTAGTGGTAGCTAGAGCTGGAGAGAGGGGTAGGGGTGGATGAGAACAGGAAGGAGGAGCGTGTGATCATAAAACTGCAACATGAGGATCTTTGTGATGCTGGAACTGATCAGCTTCTTAACTGTGGTGTTGGATAGGTGAACCTACACAGGGGAGAACTTGTGTAACAATACACCCTCTCTCTCTTCTCTCTCTCTCTGTCTTACACACACACACACACACACACACACACACACACATCCATATACATACATATACACACATACAATGAGCACAAGTAAAATTAGGGAAATCTGATTGAGATTAATGGATTCTGTCAATGTCAATACCCTCATATAATATTTCGTCAGGTATAACGGATACTATTATACTATATGTTCAAATGTTACCATTGGAGGAAACAGGACAAAGTGGGTGTCCATCTCTCTGTGTCATTTCTTTTTTTTTAACATCAGTTTTGTTGTTACAATTTACATCAACAAAATGCACCCATTTTGAGGGTACACTTCTATGTTTTGACAAATGTATACAATCGTATGATCACCACCACAAAAAAAGATGTAGAATATTTTCATCATCCTGAAAGGTTCCTTATGTCTCTTCGCGGTCAACCACACTCTCCACAATACCCCTGCTTCTAGACCCTCGTAACCCTGATCTACTGTCACGATAGATGTGTCTTTTCTAGGTTTCACATAAATTTATAGAGTGTGAATACTGTATGATTCCAATTATATGACACTCTAGAGAAGGCAAAACTATGGAAACTAAAAAGATCAGTGGTTGCCAAGGGTTGGGTGAGAGAGTGGGATGAACAGGCAGAGCACAGAGGATTTTTAGGACAGAGTGAGTCTTTTCTGTATGATACTATAATCATGGATACATATTACAGTATACATTTGTCAAAACCTATAGAATGCACAACACCAAGAGCGAATGTATCAGGCAGGCAGGCAGGCAGGCAGGAAGGAAGGAAAGAAGGAAGGAAGGGGAGAGTAAAAGGAAAGAAAGAAAGAGAGAGAAAGAAAGGAAAGAAAGAGAAAGAAAGAAATGAAGGAAAGAGGGAAAGAAAGAAAGGGAGGGAAGGAAGGAAGGAAGGGAGGGAGGGAGGGAGGGAGGGAGGGAAGACAACAGCTCAGTGCCTATCAGATCTATACATTTTAGAGTCTTCAGGGTTGGATCCACTTCTCCTGCATCTCTCTGTTCTTTCACTGGGCAATTTCATCATCTTACTACAACTCTAACATGTATAGACCATTTTTCTTAGCACTAACTCTCCATATCCAACGGTCTACTACATATTTTAAGGTCAGCATGTCCAAATCTAAACTCTTTATCAGTCCCCTCAAACTTGACCTCCATCCAGGATTCTCCACTTGCATACATGATACCATCATCTAACCAGTTTCTCAAGAGAAAAATAAAGAAGTCACCTCTCTACATCCAATCCATCAGCAAGTCTTGTAATCCAACTTCCAAAGCCTATACCAAATTCTTAACACTTCTCACTCCTCTGCAATCATCCCTATTACAAAACACGAATATCCCTTACCTGGGCAACTGCAGTTACCTCTTAATTGGTCTCTTTCTCCCCAGCCTAGAGTAAATGATCCACCATTCTTTTTTTTTTTTTTTTTTTGGAGACGGAGTTTCGCTCTTGTTACCCAGGCTGGAGTGCAATGGTGCAATCTCGGCTCACCACAACCTCTGCCTCCCGGGTTCAGGCAATTCTCCTGCCTCAGCCTCCTGAGTAGCTGGGATTACAGGCACACGCCACCATGCCCAGCTAATTTTTTGTAGTTTTAGTAGAGACGCGGTTTCACCATGTTGACCAGGATGGTCTCGATCTCTTGACCTCGTGATCCACCCACCTCGGCTTCCCAAAGTGCTGGGATTACAAGCATGAGCCACCGCGCCCGGCCATGATCCACCATTCTTATAATCCGCTGCATTCTTCCTATGCAGCTCTTATCACAATTTACACTTTTCTGGTTTACCTGCCTCCCCTTTAACAGGTTAGCACTGCAAGCCTGGCGGCTTCAAAAACACCAGGAAGTCCAGTGTTTTTGGGAGACCAAAGTAGGAGGAACACTTAAGGCCAGGAGTTTGAGACCAGCTTGGGCAAGACAGCAAAACCCATCTCTACTAAAAATTTAAAAATTAGGCAGGCAAGATGGCCTGCAACGCTAGTCCCAGCTACTCAGGAGGCTGAGGCAAGAGGACTGCTTGGAGCCCAGGAGTTCGAGGCTGCAGCCAGTTATGATTGCACCACTGCACTCCAGCCTGGGTGACAGAGCAGGACCCTCAACTCATAAAAACAAACAAACAACAACAAAAAACAGTGAGCTCCATGAGGACAAGAGTGAAGTGTGCTTTCTTATCATCTTGTCCCAGTGCTCTGCACACTAGCTGGCACGTTAAATGTTCATAGAATTCATCAGTAAGGAAATCAGACATAGCATGCATACTGCTGAGGACCAGGCCCGTTGCCACCTTCCCAGCAGGCTCCTTTCAACAGAGGGGCTCTCCCCATTGCACTTCCCAAGCACTTTGATTTGCAAGTGTTTAACTTACCAGCAACTTCTTCTCACATGTGCCTCCGTGTATAGTGGAATTCTATTTGGTCTTTGATTAATGTCCCATCTCAGAAAGGCCTTTCCTGACCACCCAATCTAAACTAGATCTCAACCCATCATCCCATCATCCTCCAGCACCATACCCAGTTAGTTTCCTGCAGAGCATTTTCAACATCTGTAATTATGAATTTCTTTCTTTCTTTCTTTGTTCGGTTTCCCCCTGAGGATGAGAACTATGAAGACGATGTTCTGTCCACTAATAGCTCCTCAATACCCAGTACAGAGCCTGGAATCTGGCTGGGGCCTAATAAATATTTCTTCAGTGGATGAAAGGACGCATGGAAAGTTCTCTTGGCCTCATTAAACAACCAGTTCCAGGGAGAGCGGCGGGGCCTTGAGCGTGACTCACCGGCTCCGCGCTGCTTCCCCGGCGCTGCCTGCCCGCGCCGCCCGAGCAGCCATGTCCGAGGAGAAGCCCAAGGAGGGCGTGAAGACGGAGAACGACCACATCAACCCGAAGGTGGCCGGGCAGGACGGCTCCGTGGTGCAGTTCAAAATCAAGAGGCACACGCCGCTGAGCAAGCTGATGAAGGCCTACTGCGAGAGGCAGGGCTTGTCAATGAGACAGGTTAGATTCAGGTTTGACGGGCAGCCAATTAATGAAACCGACACTCCAGCACAGCTGGAGATGGAAGACGAGGACACCATCGATGAGTTCTACCAGCAGACAGGAGGTGCGCCGGAGAGCAGCCTGGCGGGGCATGGTTTCTAGAGGGCCGTCCCCAGCCTGGGCCGTCCGTCCTTGCATTGCTGTTGAATGGTGACCATGCCGACCACAAAGTCGTCTGTGGAAACTCAAGGACATTCACCACAGTTATTTTCCTCTCCTTGATGTACTTCAAGTGCAACTCAAAACTCTATCTGCAGGGATGAATCTGTAACTTAAATTGGGCCAATCAGAATTGTTATCTTTGTTCAGGTAAAATGAGCTGCAAGGTATTTTGGGTTTGTTTTTGTTTTCATTTTTGTTTTCCCCCTCCTGTAACATTTGTTTAACCCCAAAATTGTAGCCTGAATGTTCACTTGTAGTCTGGCCAGGGATCTGACTCCTGAATTGGTTGCCTCTCCTCTGCTCACTCCAGTCACATAGAGAACTGGTGTTTCCTGCAGTGGGGGTACGGCTGTCGGACAGGTGTTGGGGGAAAGGTGGGTAGGGAGGACAGACTGTCATTTGCGGTTATAGGCACAGGTGATTAAAATGCGAAATATTGCAAATTTAAGCTTTGTCAGTATATGGTAAAGTTTACGGGAGAATACTGGAATGTTTTTTCAAAGGGTAAAAAATAACTGAGTCCTTTCGTAATTTGGCCCCATGGGCTCTCTGGCCCTTGAGCATGTGACCTTGGGGTCTGAGGCCCAGGACCCACCTCCCTGCCACCCTCCCACCCCACTCCCCGCTCAGTATCTGGCATTGGCACACAGGCAAGGATTGGCACAACCAAAATTGGCTTTTTCTTCTTCTCAATGTTGAAGAAATTCCCACATTTCTCATTTGGTATTGGTGTTGTGGCCTCAGGTTTCTTCTAGTATTGGCTTCTGATGAATAATTATGGTCTATACATTAAAAAGTAAGATTAAGTATTGCTGAATTTGCAGTTACATTGTTGTGTAAAAGAGCTACTTCCAAGTGTGGTTACAAATGAACCCATGGAATGATGACTTCACGTTCTTCTCGTGAGTGTGCTGTGCTGCTTTCCAAATATGTATTAAATTTATGCATTAGTCTGGTGATTTCAGTTCTGTGAAATATTTTGGGATCTATACCAATTAAACATTTTCATAGTTAAAAAAAAAAAACACAGTTCCAAAAAATAGGCACTTTCTCAGAAATTGGAACAAATGTGATTTTTCTGTGTCAGTTCTCACTAAACTGCCCAGAAACCTCCTGGCTTCTTGAAATATCTGCTGAGAATTCCAGCTATTCCAGTGAGCATTTGCACACACAGCACAGCTGGGCTGGCAGGTTCATGATGCAGGGAGGCCTGTTCTCCTCATTACCCCCGACTCACCCCCATCATTGCTCTCACCCGGACCTTCCCCCTGGCCTCCTAAGGTCCCTAGAATGGAAAAGCCTCTCCCTTGCGAAGCCTCCCAGCCTTTCTGTCTGAGGGAGCCTCACATTTTATTCTCCCTCAGAGGACACCCTTGAACAGCTAGGGTGATGGTGCCCTGGGAAAGGCATTGTTTTCTTTAGGACAAAGGGTTTCTTCTCTTCTCAATCCATACCTGAGCCTTAGTTAGTCCCACCCAGTCCCATGACTTTAAGCTCCATCTACATCTTCACTCCTCAAAGCCTTCCCTGTGGACCAGCACCAGCACCTGGGAGCATGTTCAAAATGCAGATTCCCAGGTACTGCCTGGTTCTACTGAATCAGCATCTACATTTTAACAGACTCCCAGGCAACTCATAGCACTTGACAGTGTGTTCCTCCATGCCTGACGACTCCCAAGTTACCTCCTGTCCTGACATCTGTCCCAGCCACTCTGTAGCAGCTCATGTCACATCTCCGTGTGGAAGCCCATCAGGCATCTGAAACCCAACATGTCCAAACTAGACTCTTAGCTCCTGCTCCCCAGGCCTGCTCCTCCCCCGGCCATGATATCTTCTGGCACAGGGCACTCCTTAGGCACCAACTGAATAATTCATTCTTCATGGGCTGATTAGTTGCTCAGTTGCTGGGCCGGAGGCCAAGAAGAATTGTAAGGAGAGCTTAACAAGTGATAAAAAGCCTCAGGGCCAGGGCAGGATTGTGCATGCCTGTAGTCTCAGTTACTCAGGAGACTGGAGGAAACCTTAAGCCCAGGAGTTTGAGGCCAGCCTGGGTAACATAGCAAGACAGTCTCTAAAAAAAAAAAGTCTGAGGGATGTTGCTGGAATTATACAGCATTCCAACACAGTCCTCTCTTGTGTCCAGCTTAGTGACTTTATCATAATGAACTCCATCCATGTATATCAACTTGGATACATCCCAAAGCATTGCTGAATAATAAGAAATGGCAAATGATATGCGGAACCTACAGGAGTGATCACTAGCGCTGTCTACCAAATATTTCCAGTTCCCCCAGGCACAAAATTTCCCATTCCTTAGAGCTAGGTGATTTTGTTAGTGGAGGCAGGTAGCCAGGCATGGGCAGCTTCCTTTCTGTGCGTCTCTGGTCTGCGTTCTTTCCTTCAAGAAGAGCAAGGACTGGAGGACTCCCTTGCTCCTCTGGGTAACAATTCCACATGACTTGTTCTGGCCATGGATATGTGAGAAGCGATATGAATCACTTCTGTGTGGAAGCTTGAAGGGACAATCCACTCTTTTTTTTTTCTTCCTTTCTCACCCTCTCGTGCTGAGTCTCTTAGTGGCTCCAAAGAACAGATCCCTGTTGTAGACACTTGTCAACCATGTGTTGGAGTGAGAAATAAATGTTTGCAGAGCCACTGAAGTTTTGGAATTATTTGTTACCACACCAAAGTTTACCCCTTCCTGAGTGATGCATCTGCACATGCATGCACGTTACACACACACACACCACCACCACCAATAGATATGTTTTCTCGAACATAATATATTATGGAAGTATCTTTAGGCCTGGGTGCGGTGGCTCGTGCCTGTGCACTTTGGGAAGCTGAGGCAGGAGGATCGCTTGAGCCCAGTAGTTCGAGACCACCTGGACAACATAGCCAGACCCTGTCTCTACAAAAAAATGAAATTAGCTGAGCATCATAGTGCATGCCTGTGGTTCCAGCTACCCAGGAGGCTGATGTGGGAGGATCACTTGAGCCCAGGAGGTTGAGGCTGCAGTGAGCCAAGATCGCACCACAGCACTCTATCTAGCATGGGTGACAGAGGGAGACCCTGCCTCAAATAAATAAATACATAAATAAATATCCCATGTATCTTTTGTATAAGTAATCCATGTTCACTATAGAAAAATTCAAAAATAAGAACGAGCTTTGTGCATCTCATCACTCACAAGACCTCATCATGGTCTGAGAAAGCCCATTCCCTTCCACCTGTCTCAGAGGCTAAATGTACTCTGTGGACCCACAAAATTTGCTTCACTTACAGCTGCAGTTCTCCACCCACTTTGGACTTAATTGGCTTGGAGTGGGGCCCAGGTATTCACATTTTTAAAAAATGCCTTTAGGCTGGGTAGGATGGCCCATGCCCATAATCCCAGCACTTTGGGAGATAGAGGTGGGAGGATGGCTTGAATCCAGGAGTTTGAGGCCAGCCTGGGCAAGAAAGCATGACCCTTGTCTCTATAAAAATTAAAAAAAAATAGCCAGATGTGGTGCTGTGTACCTGCAGCCCCAGCTATTTGGGAGGCTGAGGCAGGAGGATCACTTGAGCCCAGGAGTTCAAGGCTGCAATGAGCTATGATTGTACCACAAACTTCAGCCTGGACAACAGAGTAAGACTCTATCTCTTTAAAAAAAAATGGCTTCCAGCAATTCTAAGGTAGAGATGAGAATGAAAACCACTGCCTTCCATCACTGCTCCTGCCTACCTCTTCCTTGTCTCCCATTCCTGTTACTGTTTCTTACATTCCTGTTGAATTTGAACAGAATAGTTTCTTAAGTACAAACATTGTCTAAAGCAGCACTTTCTCTTTCCAGCAGCTCAGAGAACCCATCACTTGAGTCCTGTCTCCTGAGATCCTGCCTTGATGATTAGGTTTCCTTTGCTTTGATTTCAAGGTTTTGTGTACATTGTGGGCACACACAGTGAAATTGCCTAAAGACCAGAATTAAGTGCTCAGCAGTGACCCATGTAGACAGGTGGAGGTTCTGATCCAGACATCCACTTGGAAGGGGTTTGCAGCATGGCAGACTAGTTGGGGAGAAACTTCCATCCTCCAAATCTTCAGAGGGCCTTTCATTTCTCCCAGTTACCTCTAACTCTCTCAGAACTTTTTCTACAAACAAAAGATACAGGAGGAAAAAAATTTCAAGAATTTTATTTCATGCTTCTGCATTTACAGATATTTTTATACCCAGAAACAGTGGCAACTAATGTTTGAGGGCTTGTTTTAAGATAGACACTGTTCTAAGATTTATGACAACAAGATAGTCTAGTCAAAACAGTGTCCCATTTTACACATGAAGAAACTGAAGCTGGTTGCAGGGATTCTTGCCTGCTCCCCATCACTTGCATTACCCCCTGAGCTCCGCCTCTTGTGAGATCCCCAGTGGCATTTGATTTTCATAGAAGCAGGAACCCTATTGTGAACGGCACATGTGAGGGATCTAGGTTGCACTCCTTATGATAATCTAATGCCTGATGACCTGTCATATTCTCCCATCACTCCCAGAAGAGACTGTCTAGTTGCAGGAAAACAAACTCAGGGCTCCCACTGATTCTACATTATGGCGAGTTGTATAATTATTTCATTATATATTGCAATGTAATAATAATAGAAATGAAGTTCACAGTAAATGTAACGCACTTGAAACCTCCCCCCACCACACACACACCCTGTGTGTGCTTTCTTCCATGAAACCAGTCCCTGGTGTCAAAAAGGTTGGGGACCACTAGTCTAGAGTAAAAATATTGAATGAGAATATAGTTACCAGATGTTCTTAAACACTGGAAGAGAAAGTGAAATGTAACACAGTGCACATGCGGGTGCTGGATGGATGAATATGTAAATGTTATGGAGGGCACTGAAGATGGATGGATGCTTTCCTTCAAGAAGGAATACCACTGATGTCCAAAGGGGCTGACCTTGAGCCACCACCTCCCAGGAAGAAAAGCTCTTTATCAAGAGGCTACCTGGAGGACTTAAACAATAAGTACAGCTGAGGAAGAGTTGGCTGATATGGAAATAGAAACCCCACCCACAAATGCTGCCATATTAACACCTACTATTTGGCTTCATGGTTGGCATCTTGCTGTGCCAGCCTGAGGGGGTAAAGTGACCTCAACCTCCCCTCTTGCCTGCCCCTGCTGCTTCCCTCCAGGGAACTTACAGGGTGTAGAGAACTGTAGGAGTTCAGTCAGGGTGGTGGGAGACATTGTAGGAAAAGAACACAAGCCTTCTTGGAAGGCTGGGAGATTTTTGCAAAAGGCTTAGAAAAGAGGTTATGGCTGAAGGCAGCCTAGTCCCCTTTCCTTGAGCAAACTGCTATAGAGCAGATACAAAGGAATGTAGGGAGTTTATCTAAAGAGCTTGTTTAGTCATATGGTCCTAAGACAGACCTTTGAACATCCATGGGCACATGACTGCTCTCTACTCAAGAGGTTGCAAAGTTAATTAACTACAAATGGTGTTTGCTTTAGGACCTTGTCATTAAATCTGTACTAAGTAAAGGCCCATGGGGCTGGTTGGTGGGGGCCATGGCTGCTGACTCTTTACAGCACCCTCCTCTGTGTTCATAAGTGGCCTGGTCCCCTAGCCTGCTCTTTCGCTGGATATCTATGTCTGAGTGCATTTGTTCATCCGTTGCTGGGTCAGTGTCTGCAGGTCCGACCTGACAGAGAGCATAACCAGGAATGCCATCTTCAAGATGGCACTGGCATGGGTGACAGTGTGCCTCCTCTATGGGCCTGCCATCATCAGCTGGGACTACGTAGCCAAAAGCAGCATTCTGCCCTGAAGGGAAGAATGGTACAACTGGTGCATCCTGATGACAGTCTCCAGCACTGAATTCCTCACCCTCTCATTAGTGTCACTTACTTCAACCCGAGCACCCGTGTAACATTCAGAAGCACACCTCCCTGAAGAATGACAACATTGCTCCCAGCCAAGACTGTGCAGAGATGAACTTCAGAGAAAAACGAAATACAGCTTACATTTTTTTCTTA